CCCCCTTGCCACCACTTGGGTTAGAACCCGCCTAGTATATCTACTGATGGCAGTTTTCTAATAAAGAAACTTAAAAGAAATCTTGTTTTCTAATAATAAATTTAATTGAATATTCTCAATATGCGCATTGATAAAACATTAAAGTTGTCATACACAAATTGACGTAAATGTGTTTAATATAAATATAAAAATTAATTAAACCGTAAAATTGTCAATACATTTTATTGTATTGTTACATAAAAATGTATTTTACATTCGAAATATTTGCATTTCACTTTTACACAACTTTAAATCAGAATACAAAAACTTTAATATAGTTATCGTCAGGGTCATCTTAAAAATTAATTCAAACAGAGTATAATTTCGATCGATCTTTTATTGAAAATTGTATTGAATTTCGTGGGTCAGCCGCCTTCAATTGGGAGAATCCGTTCGATCTAGAGTCGCAATTGACACAGAACGAAATCCTGATGAGGGATCAGTTTCGTTCCTACTGCCAGGAGCATCTCCTGCCGAACGTGATCGAAGCAAATCGAAAGGAACACTTCGATCGGGAGATTGTAAAGCAGATGGGACAGCTCGGGGTGTTGGGCTGCATCATGAAGGGCTGTGGTGGCGCCGGGGTATCCTCAGTGGCTTACGGGCTCCTCGCCAGGGAAATTGAGAAAATCGACAGCGGGTGTCGATCGGCGTTCTCGGTGCAATCCTCTCTTTCGATCGATGCGATCTACATGTTCGGCAGCGATGCTCAAAAAGAAAGATTTACACCTAAAATGGGTGCGTTCAAGCGTTTCTTAGGATAGAATTCTAAGGTAGTATTACGTTCTCTAATTTCTAAATCGTATAATTAATACAATAGCTTTGAGAATAAATTAATATTATTGAAAAGGGGAGCATAAAAACAACGCAAGTTTTAATGAAAACATATAATTAGTAATTATTATTAAATAATAATAATTGTAGAATTAATAATAATAATTATTATCGTGATGGAGGATCAATCATAGTTGAAGATTGTACCTCACATATTGTTTGCTTGACTGACTAATTAATATGTTCTTTTACATATAAACCGTATAGTCATCAACGATTTGAAGTTGCAAATATTAAATTATTATAAATCTTTTATCTCTAACAACATAAGTAAAAATTTCTCTATTGTTGTGAAAATCATAGATTATTTAGATACAAGATAATTAATGACTATTCTAAATTGTGTAAGACTGTTATTCTAAATTGTATTAAAAAATTACCAGATTCTAGAATTTTATATAATTATTTATTTTCGATAACTATAACAGAAATAAAGCGGAAATAAAATATTTAATTTTTACATTACTTATGAAAATTAGATTGACAATTAGATTAATTAATACAATTGTATAAGTTTGCTAGTAAAATTGATTGAATGACGATTACCGTTGGAATTGTGGGCGATAGCTTTCAAAGTGTATTTCAGTTTCCGGGGAAAAGATCGGTTGTTTTGGCTTGACGGAGCCCATAATCATGGTAGTGACCCAGGAGCCATGGAGACTAGAGCCATTTACGTCTCCGATAAAAAGGTCTACAAATTGAACGGCAGCAAAACATAGTTAGTATTTTCCATCAGTTCTTTCACGATTGAGCGCAAAAGTTAGACTGTCGAATCTCGTTTAGGATCACAAACTCGCCTGTCGCCGACGTGTTGATAGTATGGGCGAAATATGATGACGGTCAGATCTGTGGGTTCGTCATCGAGAGAGAAGCTGCGGGAGATCGGTTGTCTACCCCAAAGATTGAAGGGAAGTTTTCTCTAAGAACGTTCATCACCGGCATAATTCTAATGGACAACGTAATCGTGCCAGAGGAAAATTTATTGAACGTTCAGGGACTCAAAGTAAGTCTTTCCAATAAACTAGAAGAACTTACCTTATATATAATACATCCTTGACCAAAAGTATAAAGCACCTTCACAAAGTGATGTTCTACATCTAACTGAAAATAAATTAAAAAAACAGTTTTATTGAAAAATAATATTTATTTTTATAAGTTTTTGTGTTTTGTTAGTTTCCCTTTCGATTTTATTATCGCCTTTTTCCAAAAAATGTAGTAAATCAAGAGGGTGTTTTAAATTTATGACTAATGTTGTATCACACGTTCTTATTTTTAACAATAATCGATTGACTATAACGTTTTACAATACATATAACGTAAAATAAATTAAAAAAACAATTTTGCTAAAAAATAATATTTATTTTTATAACAGTTTTAGTATTTTATTTATTTCCAATACTAGAAATTTAACTGCCTATTACGTTCAGAGCTGGATCTTCGTTGCTTTTGAATAATTCAATCTTGAATTACTAATATGTACTTGCATATATACCATATTGTAGTCTTTTTCTAACTGCGCGCCGAATTGTTTTTCCTAAATAAACGCAATTAAAATTACTCTAGTAATCCCGAATTAAATTGACAAGCAATTTAATAATTTGATGCTACCATCAAGCATCATATATTAGAAAGATGTTAATATATAAAAACTGTTAATAAATTTATTGCGAAAAATATTACCTCGGCCGGGACTTGAACCCGGATCTCTTGTAAACCGAGGCAGTCTAATGGCTCAGGACGGTCGTACGGTATTAAAAAGCAACGAAGATCCAGCTCCGACCGTAATAGGCAATTAAATTTCTAGTATTAATTGAGTTTCTCAAATAAACGGTCAAAAAATATAAATATATTGTTTTTATTTATTTTTGTTTTTTTTTATTTTATCTTTTTTTTTCCAGAAAATGCAATAAACTCAGTGTTTTATACTGGTCAAGGCAGTTATATCCTTATTTAATTAATTGACTATTAGTTACTATCACAATTGGCTATTTATTTTTATTATAACCGCGATTATCATTATTGTTTGAAATTTAAAAAATATAGATATTAAAAATAAAGTCAACAACTACAAAAAACGAGATGATCGCATTAATTACGATATTTCGCGTAGCTTAGGATATCTAATAATAGAAAGTAGTAATATAGGGAGGGTTCTAAGCCATGGGGCTAGAGGGGAGTGCGGGGCGCGGGGGGTACTTG